TTTACCCAGATGTCTTTTGATGCAAATTCATCCACTGGAGTCTTGTTAGCCTATCTAGAGATACTTGGTAAGGCCTCTCTCTCACCCATTAGTAATCAGCCTCCAGTAGTTCCCAGACTAGGGCTGACCTGGCACCCATTTCCCTTGCTCCACTCTGCACCCTTGTCTGATTGCGTTGGCAAAGGTCATGTGCTCAATGCCACCATTGCCACAAGTTCACATGTGCAAGCTTCCGGTGACCTGAAAGCTTTTGCTTCCCTATGATCATGGACCAACGCTGGCTTTTACAATCCTTCCGACCCCTCTTCCCCAATGGTCCCTTAGCCATGAGTGGGAGAGATTTGACATAAGTTTCCTATCCAGGGACACACTTTTCTGAAGTCTCTTAGTTTTCAAAACTTGGCCAGTTGTGGCCTTATGTGCATCTCCTTCTGTTGTATAATGAGGTTTCATGGATGAGAGTTGAGGGAGACTCCCAAAATAGCACAGGTTATTGCCAGAGCTCTTGGTCATCTCCAAGAGCTAAAAGATAAGACACTACTTTCTGAAGACAGGACACACTTCAGACACAGGACTTGGAGCAATGGAGGAGGAACTTCCCTAGAAGCCTTCTACCTGAAGTCTAACTCTCATAATTCTAGAGGATACTATGCAAGCTGCTAATAGAGATAATCATCAAACTTAGCCCTAAAATCCCAATAACCATAAGGACCAGCACTGCAAACTGTCTCTATTGGTACAGTAGTGACACTGTTTTCTGAGAGGTATTCAACTTAAAACCCTCTCAATGGGAGTAAACTCTTGGATGGCACTGTAAACACAGTCAAATACACATGGCTAGAGAGATCAAAGATCTTAGAGAAAATCCTATCTCTCTCATCTGTCTCTCTAGACAAATGAAATTTCTTGCCATATGCTAAATATGAATCCTTATATTTATAGACAAATATACTATACATCACTCATAAAAGAATCTTCTTTTTGCAACAGATGGAGGCTACTTACAGAGCTTCACAATTGTTCAAAAACAGAGAATATACATCTGAGCCATACCCAGTTCTAAGTTACATATCTACAGTGGAACCTCCATTCCTAGGATTCATGGAATGTAGTGAAACGATGGGTAGAGAAAAACCAATGCATTCTTTAATTTTAAAGGAAGGTTTCTATGTGGTTGCACCAATGGGAGAAAGGGATACAGTCTCTATTTACCAGTGATGCACTGGGAGGAGTGAGCCTCAGCGGATGAGTCCATTTGTTGCCTTCCAGGCATCCCATTGAGGATGTCACAGTCCCCAAAATTGACTGACTGATTCATGGGATCAGGTTTCCCAGGGAAACAGCTAAGAGGAGATAGCAGGTTGGGACTGTAGGTTGTAGGAATGGAAGCTTCAAGGAAAGGCTTTGTAAATGGAGAAAATGTTGACCCCTGCCGTTCTTGATGCCCCTCTCTCCCTTCCTACTCCAGGGGATCCACCATCAGCATTGTGAGGCTACAGATTTTCAGAGATCACACTGCCTGCATGCCTCCTCTTGACTGGGTGACCAGAGGGTTTGTGCTGTGGAGGAGTCTGGGTCACATGGTACTACCTTTCTCCCAGACCAGCACATCATTCACTCCTACCAGCAAGGTCCTGCACACCAAATCTCATTCCCAGAGAACAGCCTGTGACCTTCCCTAGCCTTGGGACCTTCTATTGCCTAATCAGTGTTTCATTCCCTCAGCTGGTGCTGAGCTTGTTGGCCCAGGCTGTCCCTGGGTAGTAGCAATCCTAGTATGACACATCCTTCTCCTGATGCTTTGAGAGCTGCCTCCCATGACCTGTGTGCACCTGCAAGACCTGGTCCACTTGGCCTGCATGATTTCATAGCTACCACAGTGACTTGTAGGGCTATAGGAAGGACATGCTAGGTTTCTGTTATTGGAATGTGGCCAGCTGGTTGATGTTCTTGTGGACCCTGGAGATGACATCTGCCCACAAGAAGAAGCCATTTTTGATTCCAGCAGTATGCAGGGTGCATGGTAGGTTGTGCCTTGTTCTCAGAACTATCCCTAGTTGTGGAATCCACCAGTTGGGACTGGTGTTGAGCCAGGTTTGAGATTAGAATGCTGGTGCATGCTCAGTCTGTACAGAGGATTCTGGGTTAGGAATCCTGGATGCTCTTAGCCCTTTGTGAACTTCGAAGAGGGCCAAACTGAGAACTGGGCTTATTTATTTCTCTTGAAATTTGGAAGAAATAATGAATTCTGCAAATGAAAATGATTTATAAAATTAAAGTCCAAAGAATTAAAAAAAATAGACTACTTCTGTTTATTTAAAATAAAACCAGAAAGTAAAAAAAGTCACTGAGCTAAAACCATGAAGTCCCCTGTCATATGTTGATATATAGGTCCAATGAAGAGATTACAACAGAAATAATAAGATTGAAATATATACATACAATGTATATACACACACAAATATTTGTGTGTGTGTGAGTGTGTGTGTGTGTGTGTGTGTGTGTGTGTGTGTCCTAAAATGCATTCAATAGCATCAAAATCAAATATCTGGAAACCAGTGATAAAATGAAATTCTTGAAAACAGATTAATAAAATTATAAATATATGAAGACACCATTCATTCCTTATTTTCTTGTCAAATTTATATATTACGGTATTGTTTCACATAAATCTTTAATTCTGTATCTATATGTAATTAATCAATGAATTTATTGCCAAATATTATATAATATTTTCTGTGAGTTTACTGTTTCCCTTATTTCTGGATTGCACATGGGCAGTGTAATTAATAATTGCATCATATAGGGTGTCTAAGATGCTGTTAAAGATCTATTCATGATTTCTAGTGCTTAACGATATGGGTGGTTTATGTATCTCAATAGATTAAGGTATAAAGTATTTTACTTTTCCTAATGGACTATTCAAAGAATAATTAAAAGATGTGCAAGACAATCTTCTTTCCCCTGGGTAATCCTGGAAATTTTGTTTATCCTTGCATCACATTTTAGCTTCAATACAGTAAATTTCAAGGGAATAGAAAATAACTTAAATCCATTCAGTTCCACTCTAGAAGATCAAAACATCAGGCTTCCTAAGCAGTGTCTCCATTAAGGTAAACAGGGGCAATATCTTTGATGTGTGTTTTAGGACATATGGCTTAAACTTAGTTATTACCAAAGAACCAAAAATTAACAATATTAATAACTAGGACTTGCCTATTATTCAGCCATCAGCATTCTGTGTTCATGAATTGCAATACCTCTTTTAAACTTACTAAGCCTCAGTTCTCAGACAACTGTGTTTCTTTCTTTCTTTCTTTCTTTCTTTCTTTCTTTCTTTCTTTCTTTCTTTCTTTCTTTCTTTCTTTCTTTCTTTTTATGGGGCTTTTGAGTACTCTAACATTCCCCCTTCTGAAGAGGTAATTCTAAAATCTTTTAAGGATTAGATACAAGCTCCCCAATACTTTTGACATTTTTGGCCTTTGGAACAGAGTATGTTGCTAACAGTCCCAAGGACATTTTGACTTTTAGCCAAGAAACTGGTTACATTTCTTTGGGGTCTTTTGACCCTAACTGCCTAGCCAATTCCTACCTCATTCTTATCACGCCATCCTCTGAAGAGGTTACACAATTGCCAATAGGGAATAGGGACGCAGACCACTCTGGCTTCTTCCATGCTGAACAGGCATGCAGAGTGAGGCAATTGGAGTACCCCTTCTTCAGACAACTGTTTTAACAAGTGTCTTTGTCTCCTCATGTTTTTCTGATATTATTTCACTTGTATTCTTTAGTTCTGATTTTCCCATTGGCCTTCATAAATACATGTCATGATATAGTGTTTATGAATAATAATTCATTAGTCAGACAGACTTTATTTGAATCTTGACTCTACCTTTGATGTCTGAGTGACCTTTTATTAAGTTATCTGACTCTCTGAGTTTAGTTTCTTTGCCTCCTAAATGGAAGACTTGACTATCTGCTTCCTAGTGTTCTGTGAAGATCACGTGTTCATATCTGTAAAGGACTTAGAAAATGCCCATCACAATGCTTCCCTCTCACCCTTGACATCTTATTCTCTTTCCTGCTCCTTTTGCAGGTCTCTACAATGTATTCAGGAATAGTCAGGATATTCAACCACATCCTGTTTAAGCAGAAGAGGGATATGTGACTGGAAGGCCATCAGAAATGCTGATTCATCATGAAGGACACATGTCCATAAAAGCAAACTAAAATGTCAATAAAATTTTGAAATGAACTCATTATCATTAAATATTCTACTTGGTAAACAAGCTGGAATATACTGAAATATTTATCGCCTCATGAAAATTTTCTAATTGCTGCTTAACTGATCAGTGTTAGTGTGGGAAGAATTTATTTCCTTCTTTAAACATGCATGTCTTGAAAGGAAGGAAGATCAAGATAGCTTACATGTGTATTATTTGCTTTACAATTTATCTTAAATATTAAAAGGGTAAAACAGAATAATTATTCTGATATAATTCAAAGGACTTTACATCACATGAAGTGGATATTTTTACTTTTATCATAGTCTCTACTTCATTCCTGAGTGTGGTGGCATCAGCCTGTAATCCCAGCACTCGGACAGCGGAAGCGGAAGGATCAGAAGTTCTAGGTCTTCCTCAGCAATATAGTTAGTTTGAGGCCAGTCTGAACTCCATGACCCTCTGAGGAGACAGAGGCAACCTGAACACAAGCTTCAGTCCAACCTAAGCTACTAAGCAAAACCGCACCTCAAATGAAAAAGAAAACAACCAAACAAAACCCAACATACTTAACACTATTTTATTCCTTTAATGCATACTTTCCCAAAGTTTTAAAAAATATGATGTTGGTATGTATAATTTTTCTGTGATGGAGCAGAGCTGGTCGTGTAAGAGGAAGAAAATATATGCCATATGCTAGCTGTAAATTCTCTGAGAGATAGCATTTCAATTTTATATTAATTTTGCCCTTTACACAGGTTGCAGCCTTTGAGGCGAATGGAGAAACCCAATCATACTTCAGTGACCCAGGTGACTGAGTTTATTCTCTTGGGACTCATCAACAATCCAGACCTGCAGGCGCCACTCTTTGGAATATTTTTAATCATTTACTTGGTAACAGTGATGGGTAATCTGGGCATGGTGATTCTGACTCTTTTGGACTCTAAACTACATACACCCATGTACTTTTTCCTGAGACATTTGTCAATCACTGATCTTGGTTACTCCACAGTTATTGGCCCCAAAATGATGGTAAACTTCATTGTGCAACAGAATACCATTTCCTACACAGGGTGTGCTTTGCAGTTGACATTCTTTGAGATTTTTATCATCACTGAACTGTTAATCCTCTCAGCAATGGCCTATGATCGCTACGTAGCCATCTGCAGGCCTCTTCTCTACATGATCATCATGGTGGGTAAAGTGCGTTGGGGGCTGGTACTGGTTCCCTACCTGTACAGCACATTTGTGTCTCTCTTTCTCACAATTAAGTTATTTACATCGTCCTTCTGTGGCTCCAATGTCATCAGCTATTTTTACTGTGATTCTGTTCCGCTGATATCTCTGCTCTGTTCTGACACACATGAATTAGAGCTGATCATTTTGATTTTCTCAGGCTGTAATTTGATCTCCTCCCTCTTAATTGTTCTTGTATCTTACATGTTTATTCTTGTGGCAATTCTCAGAATGAATTCAAAGGGGGGGAGGTCCAAAGCCTTCTCCACGTGCAGCTCCCATCTGACAGTAGTGGTCGTGTTCTATGGAACATTGTTGTTTATTTACCTGCAACCCAAATCCAGACATGCTTTTGATATTGATAAAGTAACCTCTGTGTTTTACACCCTAGTAATTCCTATGCTCAATCCATTGATCTACAGCCTGAGAAACAAAGAAGTCAAAGATGCTGTTAAGAGGGCTTTAACTCATGGCTTTAAAATCTCTACTTAATAGCTCAGTACTAAGCTGTCCAGTTTAGCAGTGTGTCAGACATTTAAACAAATTACATCATCAAATAGCAGAAGTGTCTGGCGAGCTTATGTTTTCTCTTAATCTTCATAAGATACTTCCTCTATGTCAGCCTTTGTTTCTTTTCCAATACAATAGATTAAAAATATTTTTCTGAATAAATTAAAACTTCAAATGACATTCAAGATCATACTATAACCATTTCCTTATAAATTTGGAAGTTGTACATGTCTTAGGTTAAACTTAAACTTGCAAAAGGAAAAATTCTCACCTAATTGAAATGGAACCATGAAACCTACAAAATTGAAGATTTGTTTTGCAATTGTCACTGGATTTTAAAATGAGTATGTGTATCATGAAGATTATGTTAGCTAAACAGAAGACAAAGCAGAAATTAAATATTAATATGTGATCATAATAAAATATTATTAAAAAATCTAAGGTAAGTGACAAATGAAGAATTCCATCTTAGAGTGAAGTTTTTACCAACTTAAGATACTATTTTATATATCAAGAATAAATTGAACATCTGAGAAATCTTTTTAAAATTAAATATCATGCAGAAAATGTTGGAGACTCCCCAATTATTTGACATATAAATTTTATTTTGATAGCTTCCTGATATACTGATTTAGGACTGAAAGCCTCAAATTTATGGTCATCTGGTCATCTACTTTAATGTTATGATTTATTTTTAAAATATATAATGGTGATTACACAGTGAAGATAAATACTGCACAGATAAATGAGGGGGCATTTCAAGGTGTCTTTTATCTCCATTGAGAGCTTCTATGCAATGGCATGAATTCTGTGAAACAATATTTCTTTCAGGTTTCCAAAAACAGCTTCAGCTGTAATGTCATAATTTCTTTAATCACACAGTAGCATGTACTATTTCTTGAAAGATTTTTTTCTCAAAGGCCTCTAAATTTCTGCATGAGACAGCAATCCATAGAGGCATTAAGTTGCTGAGCAAAAATGGCTCAGGAAAGAAAACATTTCCCAGTTGTAATTTTAGCCAAAGTATTGAAGATTTTCATCCTACAATTTAACAAAAATTTTTTAAATCAAGGTGAAATTTCAAAAGCTTTATGTTTTGCATCAAATTTTAATATTTTTATTACATACTACAAGAGGTGCTTGCTTTTGGAGGAGGAATGCCTATATATGTTATTATGGTACAAAATCAAATGTTTCATATCTACTAATTAACATGAAGCAAATTTTTATGCTTTTTCCTCAAGCATATCTCCTTTATTCTTTTTTTGTGCATATTTCATGCAGAACGTACCATTGAAATCTACCTGAGGACTTAATAACCATGCTCAGGTGCCAAGGATCTCAGAAAGTAACCAACTGTGACTAGTAATAATCAGACATATAGCGATTAGAGATGCATGTGGAAACATCTAAGTGTTAGTCACATTAAAAATGAGCTTATCTGTATGAAACATTATATTTTTAAAAGAAATGGAGATCTTTTTGAAAAGTTAAAATCCTTTTCAATTTTGTCTTATAGGGTTTTATATTGACTACAATAATGTATAACTGTATTAATTCAACACTATGAACCTAAAAGTTTACAGGCAATTTTGAAAGAGATTCATCTTTGCTCTGGAAATTGTTATTGACTATGTCAATGCTGTTGTAATGAAATTCTTCTACTAATTATGTGGTTATTATATAAATTTTAAAATTTCAAGTGTTTCACATATGGCTTTAAGCTGCTTCTCTAGAGTGGAGAAAACATTCACAATGTTCAAAACAGTCTTGACTAACAACACAGTAAAATAACCCACAAATAGTGATAAAACTTAAGTAAAAAAATTGAAATTTTAAGAAATACATGAATGTTAAGAAATATATAATATAAAACACATGTACATATGGAGGCATGTGGATTATCTAATAGGTTCAAATAATTATATTTAATATATGTCTACATCTGATTACCTGCATGAATTTGTTTCATTAGTATATGGAAAATATGTGCAGAATAATACAAATTTGTTCATATTACTAATAGTTCAACATAATACAAAATGGAAATATTTTGCTGTTCATCAATAAGAATTTAAGTTGTAGTATTTTCACACTATGCAGAAATGGCAGATATGAATGATTTGTACAATAAGCCACATGGATGAACATCATTAGCATTAAATGAGAAGTGTGCAATATTTATATTAATTTGTAAAACAATGAAATTAATCTATTTTGACCCAAATCATGCAATTATTCCCTGCATTAATGTATTGGATAATTTATTACAAAAGACAGCCAGGTGCATTTTAAGGTAATGTAAAGTCTGTTAGTTGGTAAAAAATTGATTTTTAACTATCATTTATATACATTAGACATTTTTTTCCTGAGTCAACAAATAGCCTATTTATTTAGTATGCTATTTGGTTTTTATGTATAGTTTATTGAGTTTTTGTGCATTTCATATAATAGATCTTAATCAAATTTAGATCCCCTCCCCATCAGTGCCCTCCTCCCAGAATAATAATACATCCCTTAAGTCTCTCAGCAAAGCGTCCTCATACACTAGTTGTTTAAAATGGACCGTGTTATTGATTTTTAGAACAAAAAATATATATTATCTTCTTATCTTTCAAGATAAAATTTGAGGTATAACTTCTAAATAAAACTGTGTATGTGTTCATTTAGCAGAATGATAGTAGTAAATTCTCCCCTACAGTCTGTGACCTGTCTAGTCACTTCATTTTGGTCCTAATATGAGTGTTGTGTGTGGACTCCATCTAGTAAAGCAAGCTTTAAATCCAATTAGAAAGCATTTGCTTACTTTTATAATATCTGTGCCACTATTGCACCTGACTTATTGTTATGTCTATAGATTAGTACATCTTTCAATTCTCATCAGAGAAGATTCTTCTTGTAGGAGATGGAGATTTACAGAGACTCACCACAGAACAATGTGCAGAGAATAATAGATCATGAGGCACTTGGCCAGAATCAGGACACCTGTATTATACCCTGTCCTCCAAAGGCTCGGGGATCATAGCAGAAGGTGGAAAGATTGTAAGAGTCAGAGGTGGTAGATAAATACAAAGAAACTGTGTTGTCTGGACACACAGGGTAGTTGCATTTATGAACCCACAGTTCTTTTGACAGCATGCACACACCCGAGCAAACTTAAGACAAACAGGAGCCCAGAATGAATGGGGAAGTGGGAAGGAAGCCCCAGCTCTGAGAATCTACTGGCACTTGCTGGATGCTAGGAGAGAATGAGTCAGTTGTTCCTACTGTTGTGATGTTTGGCACTGTGATATGACTCCAAGGGATATGCCCAAACCCATGAACAATTGGGAAATACAGAGTGTACTTGATAGGCTTTAAAAATATAAAAACAAAAACTAATAGATGGCATGAAGTCAGGAGGTGGGGAGCAGCAATGTGAAGGTGACTAGGGAGACTAGGTCTGAATATGATGATTAAAATACGTGTGTGAAATTCTAGAATGAAACTATGTATCTACAAAAGAATGGAAAAAAATAAAATAGAAATGTGTCTGTATAAGACTTCCTTGATGTTCTGATGTACCTTTGTTGCTAGTATAATTTCAAACACGTAATCCAACTTTATCGATTGTGATACTAAGAGGGACTCTTCTAAACTTACTTGTATTCAGTAACTGAAACTTTGTAACACTCAGTCAACATCCTAAATCCCCCCTCCACCTCACTGGATCACTGTTATACTTTGAATCTATGAGATTTTTTAAAATTATTAATTTTATGTGTATAAGTATATTGCCTGCATGTGTGTAAATGCACCCATGTCATACAATGCCCACCCCATGGAGATCAGAAGAAGACATTGGATCTGCTGGAACTGGAATTATGGATGCTTTTAGCCACCATATGGGTGCTGGGAATAGAACCTGGGTCCTCTGCAAGAGCAGTCAGTGCTCTTAACCAGAATCATCTCTCTAGCCCCAGAGATATTTTTTTAAGACTACAAATAAGTGTCATTAAGCAGCCAAATAAGAACATTTGAATATTCATTTTAGTTATTCTCAAATTTCTACATAAACCACATAAACAAGTTTTAAAGAAATTGTGAAAGAACAAATATTTAAAATTATTTAAAAGAAAAATAAAAAAATATACAAAGAATAAGTAAGCTACAAATAAATTATTTTAAAATTATGAATAAATTATTCAAGAAGACTCAACCACAAGATGTCTAAGGAAACAGATCCAGAACACTAAAATAACAGAAATTAATAAATAATGATAATGGTCAATATTAATGGTCTTAACTCACTAGTAAAAAGACAAGGACTAACCAACTGAATTAGAAAACAGGATCCATCAAATTGTTATCTCCAAGAAGTGAAGCTCACCAACAATGACTGACATCCTTTTAGGATACAAGAATGGAAAAAGATATTCTGAGCAAATGGAACCCCAAAACAAATAGTTTTAGATGTTCTATCATCTGACTATTTAGGCAGATAATATTCTGAATAGTATTTTGAATTTAAACTAAAACTACTCAGAAGGGACAGGGAAAGTCACTTCATACACATTAAATGAAAAATCCACCAAAGAGAATTTACAATCCTAAGCATTTATGCACTTAACATAGGGACATTCAGTTTCATAAAATAAAGAGGCTTATTAACTCTAAAATCTCACATTGACTGTCAATACAGTGATGACGGGTCACTTCAATACCCAGTTGTCTCCAGTAGTCAGGTTAACCAGACAAAAACTAAACAGAGAAACACAGGACTTAAATAGCACTGTAAATCAAATTGACATTACAGACATCTACAGAACATTCCACCCAAACACTGAAGAATACACTTTCATCTCAGCCATCTATGGAACTTTCTCCAAAATTGACCACAAATTAGGACTTATAACAAGTCTCTACAAAATTTTAAAAAATTAAAATATCATCTTTTATCCTATTGGAAATAATGGAATAAAGCTAGATTAACTACATGCAGG